TCTGAAGCCATGCAGATGGCTTTTCCCATTGCTGTGTGCACAGCTTGTTCCTTCTCTGAGCACAAGGCTCGAGGACTGGTAATACTGAAGTGCCTCTTGTTGCCTGCATCAGCCTGGGCTGGAATTGCTCCTTCTGACACTGAAATGTATTTCTGCCTTTATATATATGTGTGTTAAACCTGTCCAGTTTAAGGCAAATTTGGTCAGGGAAGAGCTTGACCCAAAGCCTGTGGAAGAGGATGCATGTGCTGTCTCTCATCTCTAACAGGCTGTGTACACATCACCAGGAGACTTGGGGAATCAGAGGTGACTCTTACTTAGAAGCATGGAAGAACATGAATATAGGCCAGCTTTTACTTATCTGACAGTTGGCATGCAAAATTGCATGCCCTGCTGGCATGTCACAGTGGGAGCTTGTTACACCCTCCAGGGTTACCCTGTGGTGAAGGCAGCCCTGCCCAGCCCAAGCGTCCTCATCCTGCAGTCAGAGAAGGGCTGGGGGCTCTGAGCACATGCAGGTGGACTGGGCAGTGAAATGCTCCTCTGCCGTTTCCTTTGACTGTGAAGAGGTAGATAGAGGTGCAACAGGAGGCTTGCTGTGCTGTGCTCAGGGCTGACCCGTTGTATTCAGTCAAATACAGGCTGTGCAGGTGAGGATCCAAGGGTGCTGCGGTTCCGCTGTGCAGCAGCTGAGGGAGCTGGACATCCTGTGCACCCGTCAGAAAGGCACGGGAGGGCAGCATTTCAAATAGTAATGCAGGTTGACTGAGATGCTGCAAGGGCATAGCATTACAGATACTCTGTGCTCCTATTTCTTGAAGTTCCAGTGATCATAGCCGCAAGGTGCCACATCCAGTTATTCCCAAGGCATGGATTTATCAAAAGAAAAAGTCAGGACTTTATTACTCCATGGATTGAAGTCTAAATCTGTCCTGTCCTCTCAAAGAAATATATGTTTTAGATAAAGAATTATTATATTTTTGAAGATGTATAGTAATACAAGTTAGAATAATACAAGTCTTGTTTCATTTAGAAATGTGTATTTTTGCTTATTATTCTCTCTCCTATCTCTCATGCCTTTCCTTTTATCCTGACCCTCTTTATTTTAAGCAATGTGTTACACGAGTACAAACTACGGTGGTACTGAATCTCTGATCACTGCTCCTAACAGCAATGGTCCAAATGACTTTTGCATTGGGGAGCTGCTGTATTTTGAGCATTTACACAGTCAGAACAGGTTTAAAATTTTATATAAGCATTAACATGTTCTTTTGTTCTTTGTGAATTTTATTTCAGGGCATCTAGATGATGATGGGCTGCCACATGGATTCTGCACAGTCACCTATTCATCAACAGACAGATTTGAGGGAAACTTTGTGCACGGAGAAAAGAATGGCCGTGGCAAGTTCTTCTTTTTTGATGGAAGGTAGACTCTGGCTCTTCCATTTGGCATCTACACTGTTCCTTCTGCTTGCAGCAATACAAAGCTAATCTGCCTTGTTCTATGCTGCTGAGTTTCTGGATAAGATTTCTCATTACAAACTGTTGCTGGAAAGTTTACTGCTGCTGTAGCCATTCCTTTGTGGGCTTGGCGCTTTGTGTGTACCAGTGGTTGGTTCCTGCTGGGAGAATGCAGTGGCATGAGCTCTTTTATCACTGAAAAGTTGCGAACTAATTAGAAACCATGAGAACTGGGAGGTAGTCAGAACTATTGGAAGCCATGCTGACCATGACTTGGGCCTCAAAGTTATAGCTGCAGGTGGAATTCTCTGTCCTATAGTGCTGTACAGAGACTGCAGCTGGAGCGTGAGCTCCCTGTGCCAGCCCTCGTGCACAGGGGCCTACCCTCTGCTGCTCTTGGAAATGGTTTAGTGGTTAAAGGACCGAGTTAAATACAGGTTTGTTACCAGCTCTAGTTAATCGTCTGCAAGTTGCTTTTGGTCTGATTTACTTTCAGAAAAGCCCCTATAATTTCCCCTCTTTTCACTGGGGATTGTGACAGTGAAACTGGGCTAGTCTGTGCCTATGCATGTGTTTTCTTCTCAGGTCTTCGTTATGAACACCTTGCAAGTCTTCCCCCCACTGCAGCATTCCTCCCTGCAGTTGGTCAGAATCTCCTCCAAAGAAGCAGCAGATGTATAAAGTGACACAATCCTTCATGGTTTTGCAGCTGTCAGTGGCACTATGAATAGCAGCTGTTAAACTGACAGTCATGCTGGGACTGCTCTCCTCCTGCTCAGCATAGTTCTGAGCAGGAGCAGAGGTATTGTGCTGTCTCAGTGAGTCAGCTCCTTGTCTGTACTTGCCTTTGCAATTGCTTCATACTGAGGATTGTGGGGTTTTTATGAGAAATATATTTATTCAGTTATGCAGAAATGATCAAGTCTCCAAGCTTGGATGAAGACAAATCCCCACTATTGCTGGTAGTGGGCTGTTTAAACTTCTGTGAGTGGCTGAAAATCACTACTGCCCCGCAGCTGTTTTCTCCAAAATAGGCTTTTTTTCAGCTTGGCAGATAGCGTCTCTGGACACGTGCACAGTGCTGCTGTGCCGGTGGATGATCTCAGCAGGGCAGGTGCTGACTGCACAGTCAGAGGGACTGACCCTCTGTGTAGGGGGCTGCTCCTCCACATCATGCAGGGGACAGGCAGTGCTCTGTGGGAAAAGGCAGGTTGCTGCTGAGCCTTTTCTGTACTGCTGCAGTGTTGCCAGCTCTTGTCTCTCTTTTTTTCTTTCTTTTTTTAAATTTTTAGAACCCTTAAAAACATGGAACAGTTGGCTACTGATGACTGCAGGAACTAGCAGAATGAAAACATACAAAAATAGTCTGCAGTATGTTTTTGGAAAATGGGATATTTTTGTAAACTATCATATTTTAGTTTGGCTGAAGCAGCCTTAGCTGAGCCGTGTGTCATTACTGAAGATGACGTAATTTACTTAGCTGTGCCCAGCTAGCAAGACTAAATTGCTCTCTGGAATGACTGATTCAGGAGTCACAACATGTTGCAGGAAGGATGACCTCGCATAAAGCAGGACATGCTGTTTCCATTAACACGGGCAAAGCCAAGTGTTGACAAAGAGTAATGAACCTGCAGAATCGCTTGAAACACCTCTTCCCGTGCAGAATCCTGTGCCTCCCAGCAGTGTCAGCTGGTTTCAGCACTCCTGGGCTGTTTCAGGCTGCTGGTGAAGGCTAACAGCTGAGCTCCTGTGGGTCTGTGGTTGGGGAGTGGCAGAGTGCTGTCAGGTACTGGACTGGCAGCAGCGTAAGTGTGCTTATTCGCTGAATGTTGGGGAGCAGGACTGGCTGCCTTCCTTGGTCAGTGAAAACTTCTCACCTTACTGGAATAGCTGCCCCCTTCCTGTTGGTTATTCTAGGGACTGGAAACTTGGAGTGAAGTATCAGTTCTTCTTTCCTTCCTCTTCAAAAAATGCAACAAACCCCAACATACTCTTTCAGAGAGAGAGAGAGAGAGAGAGAAGTTTCATCTCTGGCATCTTCCCTGTTTTGGGTTGTGTACTGGAGCTTTCTGTGGTGCCAACACCTCTGGTGTGCCCTTTGTGCAGTCAGGGTGAGCCTGAGAGCTGTCCTCGGCACAGAGCTGCCCTCTCCCTGCACCGGACACTCCTGTGAACTGGCATCTCCCAGAGCACAGCAGAAAAAGTAGTATTTTTATGAAAGTGTTTCCAGTGTTGCCATATGGAGGAAGCGAGAGATGAATGGATCAGTGTCTATCAATGTTACCTCCATACCTGGAAGGATACTGCTATAAGTGCTTTCCCCTCCAACTCTGACCACTGGTTTATTTTTTAGGTAGTGAGTATCTTTGATCCCTCCAGGCATAATCAATAATGGGAAGACTGTTAAGTACTGACTTTGGTAAAACTTTCTATTATCAGAAACATGATCACCTGAGAAGCGAAACAGAGAAATACAGATTTGCATTGACAAGATTTTGTTTATGGAAGACACAGAAGCTATTTATTACTTTCGGTGTTGTTCAGGTCTTAGCTGCAATTATCATGTCTGGCTGCAGACTTCGCAAGCTTTGGTGGGGTGAGGGTGGAAATAACCCAGAAACTGTGGAAAGCACAGAAGTTTTAGAGAACCTGACTTTTTAGGCAAGGTTGAAGGACATGGACTTCTTTCTTCAGGTGTCGTTCTTTTGATTTCCTTCGATGAGGTGGATCTTTTGGACACTTGGAGCTTAATACAGAGAGAGAAAATGTAGAAATTTGACTTACAGTAAAAGATACCTGTTCCAGTGCACTGTTGTAATTTAGCAACATGTTAACTTCAACTAAAACAATTAAAGGTAACAAGAAGGGGTTTTTTTTGTTATTTTCATTACATAAACTGTGGGTGGCTGCTTCTTTTAAAGAGTAATGCTACATGTGGACTCTGTGTGTTGTTACCTACAATGAGATTCAAATCTGGTGATCTATGATAAACTAGAGGGGAAAGTGGCATCCTTTATAGTCAAGTGAGGGCTCTGATTTCTGGTTCCCTGGTCTGCCCTGCTCCTTCCCTGTGCTTTGATGCCACAGCTCTCTGTGCAGCTCTGTAGCAACCTGAATCAAGAAATTCATGACTGAAAAGTAAAATAGTTTTCCTGCCCCTTCCTGTTTTGCATCTGGTTTGCATTGAGGCATTTCCTGTAACATGTTTTCCTATGGAAACCTCAGCCAGCTTGCCAAAGTTATGTGAAAACAGCATGAGGTCTTAGAAACGAGAAAATGAGTTCTGCAAGAAACATTCCTTCTGCAACTCTTGGAAATCTGTTCTGTACAGTTGTGTGAGACATGTGGAGTGGAGCTCCCAGACGCCGTGTGAGCTTTAACCTTGGGTGTCTGCGTCAGAAAAGGGATCATGCAGTGAGAACACGTGTACTGCAGCTGGCTATTGGCTGCCTGTGCTGGAGTAAAGGCTAAACAGTTTGCCTTCCCTTATGCTAGTTCTAGCATGAGAAAGAAATAACTGACTAGATCCTCATTTACAGTTGTGTTTTTATACTTTGGGAAGCAGGTTGCCAGGTGTCACTCTGTCCCTTCTGCGGGGTTTGCCAGACAAAACCAAAGTGAAATGTTCCTTTGTTCAAGTCTGAGTGCAGCACTGGTTGTGTTTGACAGGCCATGTTCCCTTCTAACAGAAATGAGTGAAAAATGACAGTGCTCTTAGCAAATCCTGTGCAGGTGGCTGCTAAGTGTATTGCTGGGGAGCTGACACTGTGCTGGAGCAGGCTACAGGTTGTGCCCTGTCATGGTCCATCTGTATGGCAGCTTAAGTTCATCTTGCCAGAGAGGTGTCAGTAAAGATCCGAACGTAGGAGGTAGAAAATCTTAATGTGAGAGTAGCAATAATTTATTCCTTGACTAGGAGTGTGGAGGAATGGCTCTGCAAAAAGGGACATGATTTCCTTGAAGCTGACAACCCAGCTGGTAGTGTGGTGTAAGGCCTACAGCACACTGTGACTGAGCCTTGAACCTGCTGATAAGGACCCAGCTCTGCCTGGCAGAGCTGGCTCTGTCCGGCTCTGAGTCTGGTGTTAACAAGCTCCCTGGAATTCCTGAAAACATCCTGGAATGTGGACAGACACCTGCTTGCTCCAATCATAAGTTTGCCCTGGACACTTGGACAAGGGCAATAAACCAATCATGTATCCGCTGCGTTCGCGTACACTGTGTGAATGTCTATATATATCTTGTAAGCACTAAGAATAAAGGAGAACGACCATACTCATATTGAGACTCATCGTTACTCCGGGTCCGGATCCCACTCCAACACAGGAGTGTCTGTGCACTGCTGTAATTTGCTGCTCCAGCCTACCAAAACTTCTGAGCACTGTAATTTGGGTGAGTGATGCTGTGTCCACGTAGCACACCCTGTTGAAAGGACACCAAGTTTTCTCCATAGAAGCCAGGTTTCTGGTTTTCATCTTGGCTTTCTAGTGGGTCAGGGCTTTTCAGTTCACCTCCAAGAGAGGTGAAGACTCTTCCACTGCTGTTTTCTCTCTCTCTTCACCAGCACCCTGGAGGGGTACTATGTTGATGATGCCCTGCAAGGCCAAGGAATCTACACTTACGAGGATGGAGTGGTCCTTCACGGCACATACGTGGACGGAGAGCTGAATGGCCCAGCCCAGGAGTACGACAGTGATGGGCGGCTGATATTCAAAGGGCAATACAAAGACAACATTCGACACGGAGTCTGTTGGATTTATTACCCAGTAAGCCTGACTGCCTGCTGTCCTTATTGCAGAGTAGTACCATTATGTACCTTTCTTTTCTCCCTAGCTGAAACAAATACCCAACACGGCTCATCTCTCCACAGTCAGCACACAAAAAAAACTAGATGAATGATGCATTCTGATTTTGGATAATCCAACATGCAGTTAAAGCTTTTCAGTGTCAAATGTTTGCCCAGTGATGAGATTCAGCAAGGCTGCAAGATATCTCCACTATTTTCATCTTCCAGGGAACCCAGCCCTTTGGAAGTGTATTTGTATGTAATTCGTATGTAATGTAAAAATAGTATGTGTAATAATTTATGCATTATCTCCCTGGGAAGGCTGGACCAATGATTTTGCTACTTTGTGGTGCTGGCTGCAGGTGAGGAGCTTGGGAGCTCTGCGGGTTATTGCACCCTGCTGTTCTTATTTAACTGTCTCCAGTGCTGCAGGGTATGGTGGGAAGTCTGGCTTTGCCCAGCAGAGCAGATGTAACTGGTGTGAGAGCTGTGCTGCTGAGCAGAGTGAGAACGAGTGCTTTACTAGTGAAGCAAGCCAGAATTTTATCTTCCTCATTCTTGATGAAAACTCAGATATTCTTCTGGGAAACTTGGGAAAGATGTTTTATGTTCTTTTACAACCATGCTAGTTAAGGCAAAAATGGTGGTACTGGGTTTTAAGTGTTCTTAATGCAAATTTTGAAACTTTTAATTCCTATTCAGCCTTACACAGAACTTCAGGGTTTAACGTTTCAGTTCTTACCTTGTGCATGTAATTAAGGTGCTGGTCATAACCTAATTTATTTGTGCTACATATGGCACAAACTAGTTGCAGATTTGCTTCTCAGCACTTACCATGGGCTGTTCATTTTATTTACTGGGTTTCATTACTGCCATTAAGCACATGCTAGGCTCAGCAATGCTTGGTGTACACTGCCAAACTGTTAGCGTAGAAAACACATAATCACGGAATGATTATATGGGTGCTTTTATTGAAGAGCTCTGGGAGTCAGGGTACAGACCCAAATCTGACTCTGACATGGTTCTGAGATGGATACATTTTTATACTCTTCTCTTACATAACCATGGTATAGTCATGTGTTAATCGTTACTTCGCTATTGTTCCATTGATTTCATCCAAGCATGATTCGAGTTCCCTTTCATCATTGTTATATTTCACCCAAGCATGAGTTTGAACCCCCCTTCCATTATTGTTGTATTATTATTTATTATGCAGGTGGGTACGTACAGGTGGGTACCCAGGTGTACATGCACGGGTACACATCGTTCTGCTAAGATAATGATCATTCTTGTCATTAAGGCCTATTCTAGCTGCCTTGCCACTAAGGCCTACTTTAGCTACCATGTTTTTAGAAACATTTTGTCCCATGTTATCAAAACAAGTAGCAGTTTTTCAGTCCTGGTGCATAAAATGCACACAGCCGACCCTTCAGTTCGTGTATCTCCTGCTTCATCTTCCAGCTGACAAAGGGTTGCTGTACCTTCTGGAAATGTGGATAATTAGGCGTTGTTTATCATCTTGCCAGACTGAAGGATGCAAAAAAACAAACTTTTGCCATGGGAGCAATTGTTTCTTCATCATTCTGTGCACTAACTTTTTCCCAGACTTAAGGTTCACTGTTGCCTACTCCTGCATGCTTGAAACTCTTTCATCCTTGGACCTGAACAAAATGGTGTCACTCTGAAACAGAGTCTGCGCACAGTGGTCTTAATCTCAGTCAGTCTGCTTCCACCTGCTGGTTTTGCTCCACGGTGTTATTTGGAGATACTTCCTTGTCCCTTTTGAAATAAGCACCTGAAGTGGTTAGACCTGTGCTAATCTATGTATCACATCTCTGCAGTTCCTAAACAGACTTAAGGTGAGTTGCAGGTGATTCACAGATGGCGAAGCCCAAGGGTAAAGTGTGTAAGCCTTAGAGAGGAAAAGTGTTGCTGCAGATGGCTTTCAACCAGCAGTTGTTCTCACTGAGCACCACGTAACATTGGGGAGGAGATGCTGGGACAGTGAAACTCTAGTCAGCCAGCAGTGCTTTTCTTCTTTGTTATTAATGGGCTTGGGCCTTTTGAGGTGCCATAAATTAGCAGTGAGGAAGGCAGCATCTAAGTCTCTTCTTTCCTCTGGCACAGTATGATACTAACCATACTTGGACAAAGTTCCTGTGTGGCTTTGGGACTTGGTTTGCAGACTGTTCACATAAAAATTTCACCATCTGAAACTCAGTATTTGTCACATGGAAGGGAAGACCTTGGGTTTTACCTATTCCAAACAACATCCCGATTTGTTTCTTTTATCAGTTTTATCCTAACTGGAATGACTTCATACAGGTCCTTCATGTGTCTGGTTCTCTCTCATTTTCAGGATCTCACATCCTTAGACTGCTTTCTTAAAAAGTTGGGAGAAATGCTTTTCATTTAGTGGAAGTAGTAAAGTGTAACTAAATGCTTTGCCTTTTGTTTCTTGCCTGTGCTTTCAGGATGGAGGCAGCCTTGTGGGGGAAGTGAATGAAGAAGGGGAGATGACTGGAGAGAAAATAGCCTATGTGTATCCTGATGGGAAGACTGCGTATTCTGGAATGTTCATAGATGGAGAAATGATAGAAGCAAAACTGGCAACTCTGACAGCTGTTGAGGATGGGAAACCGCAATTTGAAGTAGCACCAGGCAGTGAGTTCAGCTTACACTGAAACTTGGGTTCTCACTACCAAGCCTGTGCCTCAGACAGCTTAATTTCTGCAGAGTTCCCCACTAGAGACTGTGGGCTGGCTGTGGAGGCGTAGTCTGTTATTGAGAGGCCCTTCTGAGCAGACAGGCAGGTGGAGTGATCCCTTTGCCCTGGGAACAGACAGGTGGTGACCCC